TCGACTCATCAAGTCGACTCCTAATATAAACTCCGTCAACGATGCACGCTTGCACATCGACCAGCTGCCCGAACGCGTTGCGCATGTGGAAGGCCCCCACGCCATGTGCGGTCAACTGGAAACTGTCAATACCTTCCACACATTCTACTGGAGCCAATTGTCGTAGCTGCTCATTGCGAATCAACCAGTCTGTGTCGGCTACAGAGTTCCTGGCTCCACTATTGAGCTTGGATCCCAGCCGTTCATCGTTCACGATCATCACGGCCATTGGTAATCCGTCGGTGGCGGCTACACCCGCTGTCTCGCTCGTGTCGGTCGCTCCTGGGACCGCTGAATTAGACGTACCTTTGAGCGATCGCTGCTCGTCCGCACGCCGCCCTTGCGTTGCCGCCGCCGCCGTGACAGATCAGCACGGGCACCATCTACTTGCCGTTGTTGCCTGATCTGACGGTCGGCATCCAGTTTGGCACTCGTTCGACGGCAATCGGATTGGCGAAGGATGTCGTCATAGTATAATAGATAACGCATCGGCCACCACATTCAACCTTCCAGGTTGGACTCAACCTAAAACTTGTGCTCCAAGAAGAACGGCTACCATCTCGCCATACGTTGCGAGATGTGCGGCGACTTTAGTGCCTTCCGAAGTGTACCGTGGTCGGAATAGACCTCGCACGGTCTTCTCACAAGTAAAACATCGGAACTTTGCGAGTGCGTACTTCATGACAAGGGGTTCTTTGTCCTGTACCGGAGAGTTGCGCTCAGCTGGCTTCAGCTGACGCGACTGGTAGTACACCACACCATCACGGCACTTCTAATCGTGCTGAATCAACGCACATCCGATCGCAAAGTCGGATGCGTCACACACGACGTTGAATGGGCAATCTGGCAAGACCTCCGCCTCAGTCAAGCTCTGCTTGACTGAGGCGAAAACCTACCGACACTCAGCTTCCTGTTTAGGAAGCTGCGATCGTGGGCGAATGTTACCCGCACAGTTCTTAACCTACTTGCGCAAGTACATCGCAAGCCCAAGGAATTGCCTCAGTTCCTTGATTTTGGAAGGCGTAAGCCATTCATTGATCATTCTTAACATCTCTGGTCATAGCGTACGCCACTTTTCCTACGAGACACCCAAGGGCAGGTATCTCGCTCGCCCCGAAGATACACTTCTTCAGGTTCGCATAGAGCTTATGCTTACCCATAAGCTCTAGCAGCTGGCGGAGGTGCTCTTGGTGCACCTCAACGTCAGTCTTCCCGTCCACAGCCCGAAGATACACTTCTTCAGGTTGGTATAAAGCTTGCAGCGGGGCTGCCGTAGCTAAGCGTCAGAGGAAGACG